GCAAGCTGCCAGGTCTGGGACTCAAACCAAGGTCAGCCACGTGGGAGTCTAGCACCTTAACCATTGTGCCACCTGCCAACCCTAAAATAATGCTTAAAAAAATGAATTCAGGAAAAGGGACTGGTTTGAAAAGGAAAAAAAAAAAAAAAGGACAGTTGAGGTTTAAATATGCTGTTTGAAGGAGTAACAAGACATTAGGTAAAAATATTCAACTATTCAACTAAAATTAAATTCAGCTACAACCAAAACTATAAATTTATGGGCTACTTTAGAAGATGATTATATTTTAAAAAGTCTAAATTTAATTAAGTACATTAAGAAGAAAACCTACTCTAATTAACTACTTTAAAAATTAAAACATGAGGGGCCAGCAGGTGGCATGGTGGTTAAGACACTGGACTCCCACATGGCCAACCATAATTCAAGTCATGGACCCAGTGACTTGAAACTCTCTCAAGGTGTGAGTGTGTGCCCAAATACCCAGGAAGAGAATGGAAGAGAAGAGATTGTGGCATGGCCATCCCCCAGGGGGTGATTTCTCACTTTTCCTCTCACTACCTCTCTTTGTCTCTCTGGTGAGCATACATACTCTATTGGGGGGCAGGGGGACCCTTAAGATTAAAACATGAATTTTTCCTCTAACAAAAATTATAGTTTCTAGTCCTTCAGGTTACAACAGGTATACTTCTCTAAGTTTTATATAAGAAATTCAAAAGAACCAGTTTAGATATTTTTTTTTTTTGAGGTTTTTGCTATAGAGCGAGTGTGCTCGCCAGCCAGACAGAGAAACGGAGAGAAAGAAAGCAAGAAATCAGCCCCCTCTCTTCTCCTCCATTCTCCTCTCGGGATCTTGGGCACGCACACACATGTGCCCAGCTTTAGTTTAAGCCCCCAGGTCCAGGACTCGAACCATGGTCGGCTACATGGGAGTTCAGCGACATAGCCATTATACTAACTGCTGATCCCCTAGATTTTTTTTAATACACTAAAATTATATCTAATATCACTTAATTGGAGCATTGGTTAAAGCTTGGCAAACTTTTTATGTTTATTTTACTATCATTAGTTGTAATGTGATTTGATCTAACTTAGAGATACATTATTTTGTAAATGCCATACAAACTTTAAACTGTTTTAATTCCCATTTTTATCCAATCTATTATGGTTATCCTTGTTTTCTACTAACTTAAATGGAATAAAAAAATACTCAAGTTTCATAAGAAAATTGTTGATTATAACCCAGTACCTATTTTCTTAAGGCTCCAAGAACTGTGGTAAATACCAGATATAGTGTGTGTGAAACAGGAGGGTCTGAGGAAGGACATATAGGAGAAAAACAGGGAGGCAAATCATTAATGGGACAAAGGAATGTGGTATTATCTGTTGAAGGTATTTTATAGTTTTATCGACTGAACTAGAGAGAAATGTCCACCTGTTGAAATATTCATTTTGTGAGCTAAATAATGTGATTGGATAAAAGAAAATGAAATAAAACAATGTGAGAAAAAAAAATAACTGAAGTGAAATTTGAATTTGGAAAAGAAAGTACTGAAATAGGTAAAAAAAAAAATTACAATAAGAATTAGACTAAACTATGCAACTTGGTAAAAAGAATATGCTATAATTATTTTGCATTATGTAGGTATGCATTATCTGATACAAAGGGAAGGCCAGAATCACCATCAATATTGGGAAGCACTGGAGGAGTATCTGGGGTAGGAGCCAGGTTAATCCTATAAGAAAAACATTACTGAAGACAATCCACACTATAGAAAACCGAGCGATGCTCAACTGACACTTCATAAACACTACCTTTAACCTAGCTGAATAGCACAAGACATTTAGATAAAGGCTCCAAATCATGAAACGCTGAGTATCACATCTTACATTGCCTTAAAGTTTCAATTAGTTTCTTTTTGCCAGCAATATCAGTAATGAGGTATTCAAATGTTTTAAATAGCCTTTTTAAAACTGATACAGCTAATTTATTTCAATATAGCTTTCTAAATGGGCATTTCTAACTTAACTGGCCATCTGAGAAAACTCAAAATTATTTAATTTTTCTACAACAGATCCACCAAGTGTTTTCAACATGCCTGAAGCAGATTTAAAAAGAATTTTTTGGGTGTTATCCCTTCCTATTATTACATTACTTTTTCTAACCACACCAGACTGTAGAAGAAAGTTTTGGAAAAACTACTTTGTGGTAACCTTCTTCATGTCTGCATTCTGGATATCTGCATTTACATATATCCTGGTTTGGATGGTCACAATAACTGGTATGTATTTTAAGTACAATAGTGCAATTATTATAAAGGGAATTTCATATAACTACAAATTGCATATACTCTCTTAAAGTAGTCTAGCTCGAAAACAAATTTCTTTTTCAGCAAAACTAAAGATCAGTGTTATTTACAAAAAAATTAAATGTTAATGTAATAAGATCATTCAGGTTTTGTGAGTTGCATATTACATATCAACTATATTCTTGCTATTTTACAGTCTAGGATACAATTTAAGAGATCACCTAATAAAATCAAATTCATAGTAGGTCTTTCTATTATGCTAATAATTAAATCATGAGGTCTACAATAAAATGTTTACATTTAATTCCATTCCACAATGAAAAATATAGCACGAAGCCAGTGTTTTGGAAAACAATGGGTGCCCATTATTTAACTGGATCATATTTTATTTTGCTTTTAATATGCCAACACAACATGCTATGAAATAAATGAAGAACATGAAATATAAATTCATTTTAGGTTTTGATTTCCTTTATAATTAGGATTTAATTATTACTGTTTGGCCATAATCCATTCCAGTCTCTAAATGAAAATCTGAGAACAAAAATTAGGAATTTCTTCCAAACAGGTAACCTAAATTACTTATATCACAGTGAATACTACCACTTGAGTGCCAAAATCATCTGGCCTATTTTTATTATTGAAGCTTCAAAGAGCACAGGCCCCCATTCATTTACATGTTATCTAAGGCTGCTTTCATAGGGCATTGGCAGGGCTCAATAACAGAAACTATATAGTCTAGAAAGTCTAAATAATTACTATCTGGAGAGTCACCAAACCAAAACAAAACAAAACAAAAAAAACCCTCCTGTGGACTCCTGATTTTTCTCAAATTAATATATAAGTCTTAGAATAGTATGCAAGAAAAAATTAGAATATTTCCTTTCTTTTTTTTTATAATGAGTTAATAATAAAGTCCATTTAGCTGGCATACTAAATTTACCCAAATTTTCTCAGTCAAAACATATTTGAGTTAGGAAAATAGGAAGAAAGTAGAAAGATCACAGAAAGCCCCTAGGACAAGAAATATTGTTATTTATGTACATATAAACTCTGGTAAAGCCAGTAACAAAAATTAAGAACCAATTCCTGTATCAGTATATAAGCATGCAATAAATAAGGTATTTTCTAATTAAGTTATTTTAATTGGCATTAAGAGAAAAAGTTTTAAAACAAAGTTTTCAACTGCAATATTAAAAGAGCAGTTATGTGTCATTTTTTTAAAACCCCCTCATTCTGTTTTGCAGAATGGGTATATTTTCGAAAAAGAAATGTTGAACTGACATTAAATTTAACAGAAGTATTAGTAAATTAGGACTGTATGTCAGAAAAATTCATATAGAAAACAAATACTTTTTCCTCAGAGATTAAGGGATTTTTTCCAAAGAAAGCACTAATTTAAAACAGATCTCTAAAATAGGACTTTTAATAATGTATACATTGTTAACACATCATAACAAATAATGTGCTTATTAACTACTTTGAGACTTTTTTTTTTTTTTTCCCAAAAAAAACCAGGAAACCGATCAATCTCATCAGCATTTGTTAAGCAACAGCACTGATGAGATAACAGTGGATATCCACAACTCCTCTAAGGATCAGAGAGGGGGATTCCTCACTGGTAGAATTCCAACTGTTAAACGTCTTTAACTATGTCATTAAAAATCTGTGCTACCTAAGTTATCCAAATGACCAACCTTATTCAAATATTCTGCTAGCTAGCTAAGAACTAAATAAGCATATATTAGTTTTGAAATCTATGCATTTTATTTTTGTTCAGGAGGAAATATCTGAAGTATCTGCAGAGAATGATTAGTGTATAAGATATATAAAAATATCTGATCTGCAGAGAATGACTAGTGTGAAAGATATATGACTTGTAATGTCTGTTTATTACAGGGGAAACACTAGACATTCCAGATACAGTAATGGGCCTTACCATATAAACTCTGGTAAAGCCAGTAACAAAAATTAAGAACCAATTCCTGTATCAGTATATAAGCATGCAATAAATAAGGTATTTTCTAATTAAGTTATTTTAATTGGCATTAAGAGAAAAAGTTTTAAAACAAAGTTTTCAACTGCAATATTAAAAGAGCAGTTATGTGTCATTTTTTTAAAACCCCCTCATTCTGTTTTGCAGAATGGGTATATTTTCGAAAAAGAAATGTTGAACTGACATTAAATTTAACAGAAGTATTAGTAAATTGGGACCGTATGTCAGAAAAATTCATATAGAAAACAAATACTTTTTCCTCAGAGATTAAGGGATTTTTTCCAAAGAAAGCACTAATTTAAAACAGATCTCTAAAATAGGACTTTTAATAATGTATACATTGTTAACACATCATAACAAATAATGTGCTTATTAACTACTTTGAGACTTTTTTTTTTTTTTTCCCAAAAAAAACCAGGAAACCGATCAATCTCATCAGCATTTGTTAAGCAACAGCACTGATGAGATAACAGTGGATATCCACAACTCCTCTAAGGATCAGAGAGGGGGATTCCTCACTGGTAGAATTCCAACTGTTAAACGTCTTTAACTATGTCATTAAAAATCTGTGCTACCTAAGTTATCCAAATGACCAACCTTATTCAAATATTCTGCTAGCTAGCTAAGAACTAAATAAGCATATATTAGTTTTGAAATCTATGCATTTTATTTTTGTTCAGGAGGAAATATCTGAAGTATCTGCAGAGAATGATTAGTGTATAAGATATATAAAAATATCTAAAATATCTGCAGAGAATGACTAGTGTGAAAGATATATGACTTGTAATGTCTGTTTATTACAGGGGAAACACTAGACATTCCAGATACAGTAATGGGCCTTACTTTATTAGCAGTAGGAACAAGCATACCAGACACAATCGCAAGTGTGTTAGTTGCAAGAAAAGGTAAGAACTATGTCCCTCAAGTTGCAATGTTCACATGAAGCCTGGTTGAAACACACTGAGGAAAGATAGCTTTAAAAATATTTATTCTAGTATGTGACCATATGGTTTTTTATCTTTCTTCTGTAATTTAAAAATATTTATTCCATCAGCCACATACTATGAAAGAAAAAAAAAATCAGGAATGACTCAAGAGAAAGGGATTTTAGAGCAGACTAATTTAATAGCATACTAATTTCCCTAAATCTAATCCCCCAAATAATACTCATTGGAAATGTGATTAAATAGTAATTAACCATGTTAAATTAAAGTGAAAAGCAACAAGAATGAAAGTTACATACCTTATTGAAAAATGGTTTAATAAATAAAGATAATTAAATAAATGTTAAGACTTTAAATACTAACCCAAGAAAAACTTAAAAAGTACAAATTCAGTAAGACTTCTGATCTCCTGAAAAGTTTCCAAAAACCAACCAAAAAGGACAGTATCCAGTGTTTGTTTTTCGTCTGAAGATTAGTAATAGTTCTGGTAGGCACATTTTAACAACGTGCTTTTCTTTTGCAGGTAAAGGAGATATGGCTATGTCTAACATCGTGGGATCTAATGTGTTTGATATGCTATGTCTAGGTGTTCCTTGGTTTATTAAAACTGCATTTATAAATGCCTCAGGTCCTGTAGAAGTGAACAGTAGAGGATTAACTTTCATAACTATCTCTCTCAACATTTCGATTATTTTTCTCTTTTTAGCAGTTCACCTCAATGGCTGGAAACTAGACAGAAAGTTGGGAGTAGTCTGCCTCTTTTTATACTTGGTACTTGCTACGTTATCAATCCTATATGAACTTGGAATTATTGGAAATAATAAAATAAGGGGCTGTGGAGGCTGATATTATTAATAATATTATGTGAAAAATGTGAATGTTAGGAAAGGGTAGAGAAGAAAACAATCTATTTCTTCATGTAAGTCAAATAAAAAAACACCCTGAACTTCAGAATCTAGAACTTACTTACAGTAATTCTTGACCACCAAAGAAAAGTAACTTAACACCAGCCAAAAATCGCATCCTAATTTGTCTGAGCCCTTTCTTTTCATGGACAATTATATATTATTAAACAGAAGTTTTGGAAAAAATCACCTATTTTTTTCACCTTACATTAAGTTGATAAAAGTTGGGGAAACCAGAACAAACAAATTCCACTATGTAGTACTGAAAACAATAACAAGAAAATGGCTTATTTCATTAAAAACAGTATAACCATTCATTTAAACTGAATGACCAGACTCGCTGTCTTTAAAAACCTAAACTTGAGATTAACAAAAATCACAGTATATTTTTAACACTATACTGTTAAAAGCTGGTGGGTGTTTTAAAAGTTCATTTTTACAGCTTTTGTAAGCATACAATATTACTAAAAAAATGACTTTTACTAGGAGATTCAGCAAAACGGATGTAGGAATGTTCCACTGTGGTTTGAAATTACGCATTACGATCCAAGCGAACATCGATTTCTCTGCCACTGATCTTTATGCCATTCATTATTCTGCAGGCTTTTTCAGCTGATTCTGGGGAGTCAAACCTGACCGTTCCACAACCTTTTGATTTTCCATTCTCCATTTTTATTTCTGCAAACATTACATGACCTGTAAAAGAAAAGACATCGAATTACTAGTAAATTTAAATGAGTTCTATTTCACTACAAGGGTTTAAAATCCCTCATAGCCAATGAAGTAATAAGTACCTTGGTGAAAAGCATTAACATTTATGATTTAAAAATAACAAATCCTAAGCATTATTCTCATCAGTTTACATTCTAAATACGATTTATATAAAGTAATAAACATATCAGAATGTATACTATAACCTACAAAATTGGCACTGGGATAAATTTGCTTAGGATTCAGATTTTATTTTTTGTTAAAATCCTAGTTTCTATAGTGCACTTTTATAGTAATAAGGCAAGCTAGAAAAAGTGCAAACAACTCACCATGCCCCATAACAAACTTATACATTTCAACAAAATTATTTTTAGAGTAAATGGTTGCTCAATGCCCAATCTCCCTCATTTTTCTTCCTTCCCTTTTATTCCTATTTCATTCCTTTATCCCTTGCAAATAAGAGCAACTGCCCAGAAATCTGAATTCTACCAGACCACAAAGGGCCCTACTTACTCAATGTATAAGATTTTTTTTTTCTATTGAATTCTGTTTTAAACCACAGTCCCAAAGCCATTTATTCACAATCTGAACTCAAAGTGGAAGAATAACACCAATGAGGTTATAGAAGTAGTCATGGAAGACAGAGAATGAATTTAAATCAATAAAGGGAAAACCAGTGATGTTAATACCACAAAGGAGAACCTCGGAGAAGCTTCTGGGAAGAGGAAATCCAGGCATCTGTTCCCTCCACAGTTAAAATCATTGCTGACTCTAGGGACTGGTATTTTACGTAAATCAGTATCATTCATCAAAATACAAAAAGGCCATAAAAATACATCATCTAAACCTGAACACTTTTGAGGGTAAAAGGGGGGGGTTATTAATAATTACATATAAATAACAGATGTAAAATGAGACTATCGCCAGACAAATTGGGATGCATGATCACCCAATCAAAACAGGTCATAAATTTAGGATGGGACTACTTACCATAATATTTCCCTCCCCTCTAGATGAACATGTCAAAACAAATCAAGCCAGATGACTTCAAACATTATAATTGCCAGATCACTATGGGTTAATTTCAGTCTGGCAACCAAATCAGAGAGACAGACATATTTAATTCTATAAAGGGAGAAAAAAAGAGGAAAGAGAAAAGTAAAAGCAAAGGACCCGTCAAAAAATTTCCAGATGCTGGCAGGTGGCACGGTGGTTAAGGTGCTGGATTCCACCATGGCTAACTGCAGTTCGAGTCCTAAACCCGGCAGCTTGCTTTCTGTTTCTCTCACTCTCTCTTTCTGGTCAAATTACAAAATAATTATAACAAATAGAATTAAATAATTATTTTTGAAAAATTCTATATTGGGCTGGCCTGCTAGCCTAGTGGTTAAGGGAGCTAGATCCCACATGGTTGACACAATTAGAATCCTGGCCCTCAAATCATGCTAGGCACATGTGTGTGCGTGCCCAAAAGGATGGAAAATGGAGAAGAAGGGACTACAGTGTGCCCACATCGCATTACAGGGTGCTTTCTTCCTCTCTCTGCCTCTAGTGAGCACATAGGCCTTTTGGCAATTAAAGATTAAAATGTATAAACTCTTTCCAGATGATGAGATCAATTTTCAACTCAATGCATTAATCAGCTTTTTTTTTCTCTGTTGAAATGTTGATCTGAATAATCTCTTATCTACAACACACTGGACCACTTTTGTTTTCTTTTTCAGCTGCCCTCTATTATCTATTACTACATTTCTTTTTTAAAATCAACTAGTAGTCAAATCACTCACCTGCTATATATTAATTAAACAGTTTAAGATAATAAATGTTATACTAAGCCAAAATCATGATTTTATAAGACCAGGTAATCCTTCAATATATTCTGAAAGTTATAAAGCTAGGTAATCCACAGAAAAGTTATAGCATTATGATTAAAGTAGGTCTAAACAATATTTAGCACATAGCTAATGACACTTAAAAACAAAACAAAGACAGCAATCACACGAAGAAGCATCCATAAAATAAAACTAAAAAATTTGTTTTTAATAAACTTTAAAGATAGGTATAGTGCAATTTCCAAAGTCCTCTTAATATCTTGAATGCCAATACTGGAAAAAAGTAAATTTAATGAAAGAAGCATACCTTGGTAAGTGGTGACACTTTACAGTGATTTTGAAAGGAACTGTGGAGAATTTTCAAGGGTTTTTAATATTAAAGGTTCTTCCTTATATTATCTAAAAACTTAAGTTTTTCTTATCATAGGTTTATTAACAATAGTTAGGTTCAACGAAGTATGAAATCTTCAAAACTTCACAGGAATATATATCACTATCTCTTGCATAAGATGTCTTTCTATCCTTTAAAACAAATTCTCACTTTCTCTGACTCACTCTCTCTGTCTCTCTCTTTTCCCTTCTTAAATTGGCTCCCTCAGCTTAGGATTCAGCACTTAGACCTTTAAATTTCTTACCTCACAATTATCTCAAGACTTCTAGCTGACAAGGTCTCTGGGTGAAGATACATGAAACTTCCTAGTTTGGACACTCAGGCTATGTACAAAGTGGCCCATAGATATTTGTTTCATGATTAGACTGCCCACCCCCTCTCCCAATTCCAGTAAAATGAAACCAGAAAGAGTTGTATGTTTTTAAAGTTTCATTCTAATCCTAAAAATACACCAACTGAATCCCAAGAAGAGAAGGGATTGCAGCATGGCCATCCCACCTTGGGGGGTGATTTTTCGCTTTCTGTCTATCTCTGTCTCTCTGGGGAGGGTACAAAACCTCTGGAAAAAAAAAAAAAAAAAAAAAAAAAAAAAAAAAAAAAAAAAACCAAGTGAGAAATTTTCTTTTCTAAAGATTTTAAAAACTTAGTTTTAAAAAACTAATTAAGGCCAGCCCCATACCATCAAAGCATAGCTGTTAAGGAAGTCTGATCCCACATGGCCAGCTGTAGGTTGAGCCTTAACCCTGGTAGTTTGAAAAACACACCCGGTATGTGTGCATGCTTGCCCAAAATCCTGACAGGATGTAGAAATGGAGAAGAAGGATTGCAGCATGACTACTCCCTGTTGGGAGTCTTTCTTGTTGGTCTTTCTCTCTGAAAGTGGCAAGTGTACACACACTCTAGCAAGAATAAAACATCTAATTAAAATCTGACCTGCCTGGGGGTCAGCAGTTGTCATGGTAAATAAGGTACTAGACTCCCACGTGGCCGACAATGGTTTGAACCCTGGACCTGCCAGGCACATGTGCATGTATGCCCAAAGTCCCAAGAGGAGAATGGAAGAGAAGGGATTGCAGCATGGCCACTACCCCCCTGCGGGGTCTGATTTTTCACTTTCCTCTTGCTATCTTCTCTCTGCCTCTCCCCAAGTGCACATACCCTATGGCAAAAACCTAAAAAAAAAAATTTTTTTTTAATAAAATCTGCCTTTTACTTTTTTTGAGGACTTCCCTCAACAACATGTTTATAGCTCTTAGAAAATTCCAATTACAGTAATATTGCTATTTTAGCAACAGAATAAGACGAAACAGTATGCCATGAGAAATCAGTATCACAGAATTGCCAAACATACTGCTTTGATATATCCCATTAATAAAAATGACTTGTCCTGTAGTACAGGAAACCTTTCCACTTTATTTAACCCTGCCTATTCACCTCTTACTGGGTATACAAGATAATCAAGAAATGCTGCCTAAAAAGCATATATAAAAATAGACTAAATAAAAGCATTTAAATAAATAAATGATTCAATAAAATCTACTGCCTAACTGAAGCTATATAATAACCACAAGAGAAAAAAGCAAAATCAGACACTCTACTGTAAGAAAACATAATTATGGGGCCAGCAGGTAGCATGAGGTGAAGACACTGGACTCCCATATGGCCAACCATGGTTCAAGTTCCAGACCTGGTGGTTTTCTCACTTTCTCTCTCTCTCTCTCTCTCTTAGCCTTTTTCTGGTGAGCACACATGCCCTATAGCAAATTTTAAAATACTAATACATTTTAAAAAATAAAAAAGCATAATTATGATATGAGACAAAAAGAAAATGACAAATATTCTTCATACACTATTATTTTTATTGTTACTGCACTGTTTTTGCTGTATTATTCTAGGCTGTATAGGTGGTACCTTTACAGCCACGAACAGTTCATAAGAGAATCAGAACTGCCACCAGAATGTATCTATGTCTAAGGCATTTCTGGCAGTCGGTTCTATGCTACTAGCTCATTCTCCTGTGTTCTGTAGGCAATACAGAGTGTACAGAAAGGGTCTTGCTCTTCACTCAGTAACAATTACAGATCAGTAGCTCAGTGGGTCACACTGACAATTCACCACATGACATTATAAACAGGGTAATAACTACTATTAATATTTATCATGATGGGGAAAAAAAAGTTTTTAAAAAAATGTTGGTATAAGACACGTGCACTCACTGGAGAGACAAGACAGAGAGAGAGAGAAAGAGAGAAAGCACCCTCCACCCCAGGAGTGATGGATACACCACAATCCCTTCCCCTCCACTCCTCTCTTGGGATTTTGGTCACACAAGCACATGCACTGGCATCTTCTCCAAATCACCAAGTCTGGGATTCCAATCATGCAGTCAGACATGTGGGATCCACCACACCACCAGCTGAGTCCAAAAAAATACATTCTTAATGCAACCAATGATGACATATCAACCTCTTAAAAATTAGGTAATAGAACAAGCCTTTTCCTTATAGGCAGGAGACAATAGCAGGCTATACTCTTTAAATAAAAAAAAATAAAATAAAAAAACTGAGTTCATCTTTTTATTTCCTAGGTACTCATTCATTTTTTTTTTTTTTACTTTAAACTTATTTATTTACATTCATTCACTGTACATCATTACAGCACACAAAACGAGATTTTCCATCCGGCAGGCTATACTCTTAAACCTTGCTATTTAGTGGTAATTTGCACTGTTCTATATCAGGAGAAAGCAAAATCATTCATTTCAAGTGGAACTAGACCTAGTACATTACCCAGACTACCCAAGACAAGGCATCTGGACAGGTTAAGATCTAAATATAGGGTTCAAAGTCAATTTTTCCTCCATAATCAATATCAACATATCTGCAGTCATTAGCATACTTACCACACTGACTGAATTTCTCTTTTAGTTTCTGCCAAGTCAAGTCAAAAGGTAGCTAGAATGAGAAGAGGTATTAGTAACATATACACAAGGAACAAAAGAATTTTAAGTATCCTTTACATTATTTGCTTACATTTCTGACAAATATCTGGTTGCCTTTGGAGCCTATTCTGTCTCTCATTTTTCCTAGGTACTCATTCATTTTTTTTTTTTTTACTTTAAACTTATTTATTTACATTCATTCACTGTACATCATTACAGCACACAAAACGAGATTTTCCATCCGGCAGGCTATACTCTTAAACCTTGCTATTTAGTGGTAATTTGCACTGTTCTATATCAGGAGAAAGCAAAATCATTCATTTCAAGTGGAACTAGACCTAGTACATTACCCAGACTACCCAAGACAAGGCATCTGGACAGGTTAAGATCTAAATATAGGGTTCAAAGTCAATTTTTCCTCCATAATCAATATCAACATATCTGCAGTCATTAGCATACTTACCACACTGACTGAATTTCTCTTTTAGTTTCTGCCAAGTCAAGTCAAAAGGTAGCTAGAATGAGAAGAGGTATTAGTAACATATACACAAGGAACAAAAGAATTTTAAGTATCCTTTACATTATTTGCTTACATTTCTGACAAATATCTGGTTGCCTTTGGAGCCTATTCTGTCTCTCATTCCGCTTCCTATAGGACCCGATAAAAATCCTCGATCCATATCGATGCTCCTTTCCAGTATAGCTCCTATACCTGGTCCCATTCTATCAAAGCTGGAACTCATTCGGTCCAGTCCCATCCCCATTCCTCCAGTCACACTGTTCATGCCACCCATTCCACCACCTGGATTTTCAAGAAGGGGAGGGAGGATTTGGGAGTTTCATGTTTTTGTTTCAAAAACAGAAGGAAATGGAAAAGGAGTAAGGGAAGGGGAAGAAAATCATTTTTGAGAAAAAAGGGAAGAAAAAATTAATTCATGTATATAATTAAATCATATGTAAACAAAATTATTTTCATGCAGTCAATACAACAATTTTCCAAGGAACAATTTGGCATACATTTGGTCAGTAGAGAAATTTTAACTTTCATCACTAAATAAATACAGAATACATATATACATTATATTCTGATCATAAAACATGATACTGTGTAAATTATATAAATCCTCTATCAATCACTTTTCCATTAATATTACAGCACTTTTTATCCATATTTTTATTATCCAATAATACCAACACAGTATTTACTAGAACAAAGATACATGGAGATAAAGTCAAATTATTACAGCTCTAGCACACACACTGCTCTCATATTCTCCTTCATCATATTCCCTTCTTAGTTTAACTTTCAACTCAGTACCTTTATCTCTGTTTTCCACACGATAATGTCATTTCATTTAAATTTTCAACAAATTGTAGAAAAACAAAACTTTTTATATAATACTTATGTAGCTCAAACAATAAAAATAGTATCGCTCCCTTTTAGCCAGAGTTTGAGAATTTAGCTCCTAGCTCAAACCTACTTCATGCTTATACACTGCACCTACTTCCTGTCCCCTTTAATTATTCCAGTCTCGCCTATTCCCAAAACTTAATCTTTTTGCTTGTGCCCAATATATACCATCCAAAAAAAAATTCTAAAAATTAGTATCACCTACAAATTGGCTTTCTGTGAATAACAAAATTAGGGAAACAGAGGAGTATAAACATTGAGATAAAAGAGGAAGGTTGGGAAGTTACAATTATCATAAAAATGGCCAAGGTTAAAAAATGATGGAAAAAATAATGAGAAGCAAGGTACAATGGCAGTAGATGTTTTCAGCAGACAATTTTAGAATTCATTCTTAGTATAGTTTCAAGTAGGCTGTATTTCCTATTTATGAAATGTTGTCAATTAAGTCAATAAAGTATGGAGAGCTCAGAGATACTGTCCAATAAGCAAGAGGTCAGAAACTAAGCTTTATGCTAAAGCTTAAAATAGAAGGCTTAAAACGCAGTAGCAGAAACAGATGGGAGAGATTCAGTTTTCCTTAGTGTTAAAAGTCATCTCGATTCTATCACAGAAAGGGTTTAAGAGGAAAGGAAACAAGCACCTCTTTCAACTTTAGCCCTCAAGTCAGAAGGTCTCTGAAAGTATCATATCTGCATCTACGGAAAGACTAGATGTTCACGGATGAAATAAAATAGTCACCAACAGTGTTACAGACAATAACCAAGGAAACAAAGTTGGTGCTAAAGCAAAAATTGTTCCTTATACAGAACCAGAAAAATTCCCATATTTCTTAGTTAGAAAGGAGGTTCTCTGAATGATGATAGGTAACATGTACTCTTGTGTTACTTTAGAAGTATCAAAGTAATAGAATTCGAACAGTTCATTCAGAAATTTCAAACAATGATCAAACAAAAAAGCTTAACTCAGTAACTATCAAAGTTTCTCAAATTATGACAAGACATATTAACATTTAAGAACAAAGTATTATTCTACTACAATAACTACTCTTGCAAAGTCTTTGCAAACACTCAAATATTACTAAATAAATTCTAGTAAAATTTAAACCTACTTATTCCAGATCCTACTGGACCCATGTTAGAAGCTCCTATTCTTCCTGCAAACCCTCCAATCATTGCACTGCCTAAACAAGGATGGAAAGATAATATACTAATTAATTTGAATAATCATACTTTAAAATTCCCAAGATACTATGCTCTTAGAAGATGTACAATAACTGAAAAGCATAAAGTGTTCTTGAAATAGGGCTTACATATGTAAGATATTGAAAAATACAGCTAGAACATTCAAATCCCAGAAGGGTTTTCTCCAGGTAATAAATTATATCAAACATTATAAATTACCGATTTTTCACCGAAAGAACACATTTTGACAGCTATCACCTGCAAAAAGAAAAGAAGTATGCAGCCAGCCCTACCAAGTCTACCAAAGGAATCTCCAAAGCCTCGATTTATTCCAATATCACCACGTCCAAAATCTCGCTCCATGCTACTAGTCATCGCACCACGGTATAGCTCTGAAAAGATTGTGCAACAAATTAGCCCTTTTCAAGTGTATCAATGCATGTTAACTATTCAGGAATATAACTAAACTAAAATGAAAGAACAGCAAAAGTCAGAAATACGAAACCATCTGATTTACCCAACTTACCTCAAGTGCCACACAAACCATCCCCATTCCCGCCATGCCTGTCTTTAGCCCCTAGTGCCCATATGCCTTCTGAAGACATCTATAGGACCCATTCCTATGTGAAGGGGAGAACATTTTAACAATAGGGAAAACTAAGTATAGCATACACATCCCACTGTACACATTTACCTACCTCCCATTCGGCCAACTCCTCCAAATCCTCCCATGCTATTCATTGCCTCCAGACCACCAAACCCAATTCCTAAAGAATAAAGATTAATTTTGAGATTTGACTGTCAGTTATATAGCTGAAAGGTACAGTATATAAATGTCAAGTTTCACCAATGAGCTCATCCACCCTACCTGTGCAGCTACGTCTTAACACATCACCTTCCCTTAAGTATGTACGGGCTCAACTTCTGCTAGCAGCCATTAGGGTACAAGCCAACAATAAACCATGACATTTTTTTTTTTTGGGGGGGGGGAGAATTCTCAGTTTCCAGTTCATTAAAAAAGTGTTTATGGTCACATACAAAAAACAAATGCTTATACATACCTCCTCCAATTCTATTCATTCCTCCAAAACCTGGACCATCCATTCCCATACCTCAAATAAAATACACAGTATGTACTTTCAGTAAATCTTATTTTTATGACTAAGGAATGAATACTGCATTCTAGCAAAATGGATACCATTGTTCTAGCCACAATGAACTACTACAAAAGCAGCAGGGTACAGGAGGAATGGTTTAAATGCCTGCAGCTACCTAATCACGAATCTTTAAAAAATTTTTTTAAAAAATCCTCTTTGTGCATGTATTAGACAAGAAAGCAAAATTCACTGGTTACACCAATAACATTCCATTACACCTAGGACCAGGTAATTACGTTTTAGGTTTTGTTTGTTTACAGAACAGACACAGAAATATCACTATCAGCTATTTCTTTTTTCAGTTTGACACAGAAATATTACTATAGTAGATTTAGCAATCAGGCCAGAAAGTAAAAAGCTCTCTAAACATGGCAGTTAAAAGAGTAATAAAAAAATAAAGACTATAAATAGTATGATTTTAAGAAGGTGCAGAGTTTAAGAGCCTAAAAGTAAGGGAGAACACCTGCTTGGATCAGAATGATTATCACAACTACTATTTTTGTTAAGAAGCTATAGTAACATTTTAAAGTAAACAGTACTCTGATAGTGTTTATCAGTCCATTAATAAAACAGTAATTCTCCAACTATGGTCTGGGAACCCTTCAGGATCCAACAGGTCAAAACTATTTCAGTCATCAAATACTACTAAGACATTATTTGGCTGTCTTATTTACTCTCATTCTCTCATGAGTACAGGTGTAATTTTCCAGAAACTACATGATGTATGATATTGCAACCAAATGAATGCAGAAGTAGAAATTGCAGCATCTCTGTCTTGTATTAAAACAAACATTAAAAAGGTGGAACACCTCCATCCCTCTAATATTTTTATATTAAAAAACATTGTTTATGGCCTTAAATACATATTTATGTTAACACATAATGGGTTTCTTATTTTTAAATAAATACGTACTTTTTTTTAGTTTCTAAGTTTTCACTTGTAGTAAATATTGATAAATACAAGATAAAAAATAGCACTTTGGGGACCTCAACAAATTTTAAGAATATAAAAAGGTCTTGACATGAGAAAGTTTGAAAACAATCTCCAAAGATAAATAATAAGTTAGTCAAGGTGAGCACCCAGCTGGGTACCTGAAAAGCCACCATCCCAACCAGATAACACAAATTTAAGTTGCCTCTGATTTGGGAGTATCTTAGCCAATTCACAAAGACTGTATGCCCATGACATACAATGTATTATGTTGAGCAGTCTCCTTCTGCCTTAAAGTATTTCAAAATTCACATTATTAAAATGCTAGCTACAACATGGCTGGCCCCAGAGAAACTCTCCTACTCTTTGTCTACACGCTCTCATGTTAACTGCTCTCAAGGTTTCCCTCCTTTTTAAACCTAATGTGACATCCTAAATAACTATAAAATAGTAGAGTCCTTTAAACATCATTACAGATTAGGAAAAGTAAGCTTTACTGTCTATCAAATGTATCACTCATAAAGAATATCAAAGTTAAAATACTCACCACTTGGACCTAAATTTCCCATCACACCACCTATGTTCAACTGGCTGGCACTGATTGGCTGTCCACCCGGACCAAGTCCCATTCCAATGCCTCCAAGACCACCTAAGCCACAAGTAAGAGCATATTACCAAGATCCATATATATAATTAACTGTTACTAAAAATATTTAAAAACTATATACCCAAGGACCAGCAGATGGCATAAAGGTTATGTTGCTGGACTCCCATCTAGCCTGCCACAGTTCAAGTCCCTTAAAACTCATGCAGGGTGCATGTGCATGTGTGGCCAAAATCCCGAGAGAAGAATAGAGAAGGGACTGCAATATGGCTATCCTCCCTGGGGGTTTATTATTTTCTGTCTCTGTCTCTCCAGGAGTGCACACGCCCTATAGCAAAACCTTTCTTAAAAATAACAAACAAACAAAAAACAGCTATATACCCAGAGTAGTAGTATTTCTCAAACTTTGCAAATATGCAAACATGAGCACAGGTTCTTATTTTCATTTAGAAAGCAGCACCCTGAAGCCTGACTGTAATACTATTTATTAATGAAAAGTGTTTTATGAAGCAGGTCCATCTTACATCCTTTCAGCATAGGACTAACAAAATACCTAGAAAATTTTGAATAATATCATATTCACTTACAAATGACATATACAGCTGAATATAAGCTTGCCCAAATTTGTAAAACTATTTACAATCTTAGAATTACTTTTAAGATGTTCAAATAAAACTAAAAAGTCAACAACCATAATAATGCAATACAGATTCAGTATTCCTTATGCAAGGTGCTTGAGACCAGAAGTGCTTCGATTTTAAATTCTTTTCAGATTCTAGAATATTTAAGTACACATAATGAGAAATCTTAGGGACAGGACCCAAGTCTGAACACAAAACTCATTTAAATTTCATATATACCTTATACTCAAAGACTGAGGATAATTTTACCCAATATTTTATATTGCAGTGTTGTGATTATGACCTGTTACATGAAGTAAGTCAGGTGTGGAAACTTCTACCTGTGACAGGTTGGTACATAAAAGCTTTGAATTTGGAGGCATTTTGGATTTTCAAATTAGGGATATGTAGTAAGTATTGAATAAAGCACATATTACATAGTTTCATCACTAACGTAAATATATGTTTACGCTTATATAGCACCTTAAGTATTTTCACATTTTCCACAAATGAAAAAGTTTATGACTTTAAATTACTTTAAATTACAATGCCACTTAGCTAAGTGATTATGTTCAGACTAGAACTTAAGCCTTCCATCTCTAAATCCAGCATTCTTTTAGCACCTCTCTTAAAATAAACTAAATTAGTTGAATAGAGGCTTTAAGAAGCATATGTTAATGACCTTAAAAACCGGAAAACAAATTAACATTTGGAAGGAGACTGTTTCATTTTACCAAATTTGAGTATGGTCTTAAAGTTCCTACTAGTCAAAGTAGCTATAAATAAGCCTTAGGGGCTGAGAAAATCATATACTATATTTTTTGAAACTGTGAGTTTAGAAGTATATTATCAACAACATGAGTGAAATATCTTTTTCCTCATTTCGTCTCTAAAAATCCACCTGGAAACAACAGCACATATGACCACCATCAATGTTTATATGTACACTAAGCACCCATATTTTCATTTCTGATATAATTCTTCACTAAAAAGAACCAAGACTCCTTAAAGGCAGGCCAATCCCATGTCTCAGAACAAGAAAAAACAGAAGAAATCTAGGAAATCTTACTTGTACTGCAAAGTAATAATAATAGAAGCATGGGGAATGACGAGGCTCTCACTTGCCAAATTATAATAATTTAAGCAAAAAGAAAGGAAGGAGGGGAACATGGTGGGGAGGAATTGGTAATAATGAATGATTAACTAAAATAAACATTATCATCAAAGATAAGTTCATATTATATCTCAACAGAAGAGTGTGTGAAAATGGAAATCTCTAATAGATGTAAAGTTATGAACATAACAAGATAGGTTTTTTTAATCTAAAAAATAAAAGAGTATTAAGAATAGAAAAGAAGACTGAAAGTCCCTATAGGTAGCCAAGATCTTGAAAGTTCACAGATAAGTAAATGTGGGGAAGAAAGAAGAACTACTGCTATGTTTTGGATAATGGTTTGTCACCCGAAGATTAATGTTTTAGAATTGGTCCCCCAGGGTAATGGTGTTGGGAGGTGGTGAAGCCTAGTGAACAGTGAGAAAATTGTGGAGGCATCCAGCCTCATGAATGGATGGATGCTGTCCCTCAAGAAACCAAGAATGTACTACTGATAGGTCTCCTGAGGAGTTGGTTCTTATGAGAATGAGCTGTTACTAAAGGAAGATGGCTGCCTCCAGGTTGCTCTCTCTGCACACATGCACCATCCTCTCTACTCACTTCTGCCAGCTATGTTACGATGCAGGCTGGCCTGATCCCAGCCCTTTGCCTTTGGACCTGCCAACCCCATGCCTTTGGACTTTCCAGCCACCACAATCATGAACTGAATAGCCTCTATAAATCATTCAAGCTCAGATATTTATATTAGTAACACAAGAGCAGATTAAGACAACTGCCTTATAAAAGAAGGGCAAAATTCAAAGACACAAGACTAAGAATTTTACAGAATTTATTTTTAAAGTGAATTATCAGATCATCTTAAAAGCCTAATAAATAGTAATCTACACCTACACTGTAGTAAAACTGCATATCAAAGACAAAAATCTTAAAATCAGCTACATGAAGAACACAGATTACATGTAAAGGACATTTCAACAGATAGCTGACCTGATAGCAACACTGGAAGCCAGAAGACTGAGGAATAATTTCAAAGCACTGACAGAAAATAAGTATCAATCTCAAACTATAGAATGAATGAAACTATCTTTGAAGACATTTACAGACAAATCAAAACTGTAAAAATTGACAATAACAGATCCTCATTTAAAAAGCTTCTAAAATACATACTACAGAGGAAAAAATTAGTGCCATGGTCTGTGAAAGTAAAGGAAGGACAAGAAAACAGTAAGTAATAATAATGTCTAATTTGTAAGACTAAAAATAAAAAGTAATACAGAACTAAAACACTGAGCAGTAATTGCATATAATTCAGTAGGAAAGTGATTATAATCAAAGCACTTAAAGGTCACTCTACTACTGAGTAAGAGAATAACTATATTAACTACATGCTTTATTCAGACATACTAAAGTATCCAGGATAACCACGAAGACAGACAGACAGGAAAATGTTTGTAAAATGTAGACAAATGTAACACGAAATAAAATAATGGACATTAATCCATATGAACTGATAACTGAATAAAGTAAACTTTAGACTATCAAACTGAGTTTTAAAAAATCTAATCCCAGCTACAATGTAACTTACAGGGTATGTCTAAAACAAAAAAATTGAAATAAGGGAAAACATGGCAGGCAAATACTAAACAAAACTAAACTGTGATAGTTATACCAATATTAGACAAAAGGCTTAAGGTGATTACTACAGATAAAATTATTCTACACTGCTAAAATTTTTATTCATTGGAAAACAAACCACTATTCTAACCTTGGATGCACCCTCTAAACTAACTTCATAATATTTAAGTAAAACTAAGGGGGACAAAAAAGACAAATCTACTATTCTCATGGAAGACTGTACCATACTTCTCTTTTAGTAATTATAGCACAAATAGACACAATTATTGGTAAGGATGTAAGACTACTTAAATGAGTAACAAAGCTGATCTGGGCCTACTTACAATGCTGGACCAGACCAAGCATGCCTAGAATACTTACAAAATGTGCCATATGGTAAACCACCCCTAATGCAAGTCTAAATTAATTCCAAAAAAATTACAATCATATACATAATGTCCTCTGACCACAGTGAACTTAGAAATAAACTTGCATTTAGAAACTAAAAAATTGGCGGGACCAGCAGTTAGCGTAATGGCTATGTCGCTGAGCTCCCACGTAGTCAACCGCGGTTCGAGTCCCGGACCCGGTGACTTAAACTCACACCAGGCGTGTGTGCATGCGTGCCCAAAATCCCAAGAGGAAAATGGAGGAGAAGGGACTGCGGCGTGGCCATCCCCCTGGGGGGTGATTTCTCACTTTCTGTCTCTCTCTGTCTTTCTGGTAAGTCAGGCACGTGTGTGTGGTTGCCCAGGATCCTGAGAGGAGAATGGAGGAGAAGGGATTAAGGTGTAGTCATCTTCCCTGGCGAGGGGTGATTTCTCACTTTCTGGTCTCTCTGTCTCTCTCTGTCTTTCTGGTAAGTGTACATGCCCTATAGCAAAATCCTCTCAAAAAAAAAAAAGAAACTCAAAAAATTGTAGTATCAAATAATGCATGGCTCAAAAACAATCATAATGGTAATTTTTAAGTACTTTAAAAACTAAGCCACAATAAAAACTACACCAGAGCAAAATCTGTGTACAAAATTTATAGTCAGAATTACTTAATATTAAAAAAAAAAAAAAGGTTGCTGGGGACCAGCAGATGGTGCAATAGCTATATTGCTGGACTTCCACGTAGTCGACCATTGTTCATGCCCCAGACCTAGCAACTTAAAAACTCAGGCCGGGTGCGTGTGTGTGTGCCCAAGATCCAGAAAGAAGAATGGAGGAGAAGGGACTGCAGCATGGCCTTCTTCCCTATGGGGTGATTTATCACTTTCCATCTCTGTCTCTCCAGCAAGCGCATGCAACCTGTAGCAAAAAATCTCAAAAGAGAGACTGAAAATCAGTAAAGTAAGCATTCAGCTTAAGACATCAGAGCAAAATGAGAGACTAAGAAGAAACTAATAAACTAAGAGCAGATATTAAAGTATAGCAAATAGAATGCACTTCTTGAAAACACTAATAAAACTGATAAATCTAGAAAAATTGACCAAGAAAAAAAATGAGAAATTGCAAACCTTCAGAATTCAAGATATAGCTATAGACAATTCAGAAATTCAAGAGACAAATTCTATGCCAATAAATTTGTAAATGGGAAAAATCCTTAGAAAAACAGAAATTACCAAAAATTGACTTAAGAAGTAATAGAAAATAAGAACAATCTTCCTTGAAATAACACACAAGGGTCAGAGTTTTACACATACATTTTTGGCAAATATTAAGAGAACAGGCAATTTTAATAGAAAAAGCACTCCCCAACTCAGTACTGTTTCAAAATTAGAATAACCTATAAAAAAAAAAAAACAGAAAAATGTATGTACGTGGTATAAGGAGTTAAAATGATGAAATTTAAACATCTACCCACATGAATAAATCTCAAAAATAACTTTTTAAAATCAGCACATTATGGGACTAGTAGATGGCAGAATGGTTACATCTCTGGACTCCCCCTTGGCTGACTGCAGTTAGAGTCCCACTCCAAACTCACGCCAGGTGTGTGTGTGTGTGTGCCCAAGATCTGGAAGGAGAACAGAAGAGAAGGGATTGCAGCGTGGCCATCACCCCCGGAGGGGTGATTTCTTGCTTTCTGTCTCTGTCTCTTCAGCGAGCACATGCACCCTATAGCAAAAATCTCTTAAAAAAAAAAAAAAACAACAAGTTACAAAATAATATATACAGTATGATGTCACACACACAACACTTTAAATCCAGCAGAACAGTTCTGTGTTTATGGATATACTAATATGTAGTCAAATTATTAAAGCCTAAAATGTTAAACATTGTAGTTATAAGCTGTTTCCTCTGGATAAGCCGTATGTTGAGAAGTGGGTAGAGAAGAGAGGGAACCTCAATTTGTATCTGTAATATTTTATTTATTAAAATATATACGTATGTGTGTGTGTGTGTGTATACAGAGAGAGAGAGAGAGAGAGAACTGGCTCTGTGGCACAGTGGTTAAGGGAGCCTACATGGCTGACCAGTTTTGAGTCCTGGTTCAGTGGCTTGAAAACCATGCCAAGTGCATGTACATAGATGCCCAAAATCCTGATGGGATATAAAAATGGAGGAAAGAATATTGTGGTATGACCATGCCCCACTGGGAGGGTGTTTTCTCTCTCTGGCACATGTGCCCTCTGGCAATAAAAAGGGAGGGAAATGGCATGTGATAGCTACATGAATGATTTTATTTTTGTCTGTATATTGAAAATATTTTGATAAAAATTTTAATAACCAGAGAAGGTGCAAGACAATGGCTTTTACTGAATGCTTACATTATGCCAGAACTATTCTAAGCGTTTTATATATGTTAACTCATACAAGCACTCATACCAACTCCTTGAAGTAGATACTATTATTGCTCCCATTTCTCAAATGGAGTATTCAGACATGGATGTTAAGTACCTTACACTGTCATTTCATAATCCCTTGTAAAACAATTTGATAGTATTAATCAGTGGGCATATCTTGAGATCTTAAGAAAATAACCAAAAACATACATACCAAAGATTTGAATACAAAAACGCATGTGTTAATGTGCTTGCGATTATTAAAGAAAATCAAAGTTAAAACATCTATTGATAAAATGCCTAGCAGTGTAATGCTTATGGAGCATCTATATGATATACTATTCTATTATGACACCAATAAAAATATTTAGAAACAATTATCTTTTTTTTTTTTTTTTGGAGAGGTTCTTGTTACAGGGCACGTACACTCGCCAGAGAGACAGAGAGAGACAGAAAGCAAGAAATCACCCCCCAGGGAGGATGGCCACACTGCAATCCCGTCTCCTCCATTCTCCTCTCAGGCTCTTGGCCACCTCCACACACATGCCCGGTTTGAGTTTAAGCCACCGGGTTCAGGACTTGAACCGCAGTTGACTACATGGGAGTTCAGTGACATAGACATTACGCTAACTGCTGGTCCCTAGAAACACTTATCAACATGGAAAAATGTTTATATTATAATGCTAAACAAAAAAAACTCAAAACTTTTCATATGGTAGTTATTAACTGGATACAAAATAGAAAGAAAGAAATACTGGAAGAAAATACACAGAAATGTTACAATGGTGGTTATCTGTTGGTAACAAAGTTACAAGAGGCTTTTTTTCCTTCATTTCTATAAGCTTAGCAACTATTATAGTATGTATTGCTTTAATACTTAGGAAAAGCTATCAAAGAGGGGGAGGGGAAAAAAGCCACATAACATTTATCTTTTCAGTCCTCCTAATCAACAGCTCTAAATTATCTCTTTAATTCCAAGTTGACCTAAATCATGAACAACTTAGGAGGGGAGGCATAAAAACAAGGTTTTGTTAAGTACATTAAAAAAAAAAAAAATGGAAAAGACTATTGTACTTTCGAATAATGGCTTTTACTTACGTGGTAACTGTGGTGTTTTACTATCATGTGAGCGGTAGTCTTCATGAGGAACAGACTTGTCATCCTAAGTGCAAAAAAGTTCATTATGTGGTTAATATATAACTAAAATTAAGTGTAACGTAGAGGAAAGCAGATAAAATATTTGAAGAGTTGCAGGATTGAAGTGATAATAGCGACTTACCATTTTAACATGCATAGGCCTATCAAATAAAAACTGCCCATTGAACATAGCTGTTGATTCAGTCAAGGAAAGCCAGCTAAAATGACTACAAAATTTTATTTGAACACAAAGTAATTTTTAATAATCTTTATTTGAAGTCCAAATATCTCTAACAGTTTAATTAACATATCGAATATTTATCATATTGGTCTCTTCCACATATTCAAAGAAAAATCTTTAATTCTTTATAAATAAGATATATCCTTTTAATTCGATCATTGAAAACAGAAAATTAACAATGTTTCATTTAAAGCAACTGCATTAAAGTACTACTGGTTACATAACTGTCAAAAGCATGTATACACATAATTAGTTGTGGTAGGAAAAGATGGTAGAAAAAAGTTCATACTTGGACATAGACAAGATTTTATGTGCTGGAAACTAAAGTCTAACACACAATTTCTAAACCAGGCAACCACCTTAAATTCCATGCCCCACACAAAATAACATCAAGCTTCTTTGATCTCATTTAAAACACTAAAATGAAAGTCAGGATACAAATTGCTTGAACGGCTTCAATTGCTTGCTCAAAAGTGACAGTGCCCATTCCTCTGCTTTTGCCGTCTTTGTCTTCTTTAATATCTGCCCGCTTTACAGTTCCAGCTATACTGAACACTTCCTTTAGTTTCTTCCAACCAACTTTGAAGTCAAGCTTAACATAAAATTGTGTAAAGTTATATACCTCATAAATCCCTCTCCTCAGTTGTAAATATAAAGGAAACTTTTCTAAACTCTCATAACTATAAAGAACTATAATTCTAATTTAATGGTATGTCAAAAATATTCAAATACAAAATATCTTATGTTGTTTAAAATCAGTTATGCTACATCTATATTGTTCCTTATGCTTATTATTTTTTTAATCCCCTAAATCCTCTCAATTGTTCAATCTTGTTTTGCTCATTTGAAGCTCACACATCTATTTTTTGCAAAGAGAAATTCAGAGTTTGCAAAGCATTTGTCAACTTCACTGACTTTCTGGGTTTTTTTTTTTTTTTTGAGAGGTTTTTTTGCTATAGGGCGTGTGTGCTCAGACAGACAGACAGAGAGATAGAAAGCGAGAAATCACCCCCCAGAGAGGATGGCCACGACGCAATCTGCTCTCCTCCATTCTCCTCTCGGGATCTTGGGCACGCAAGCACATGCGCCCGGCGTGAGTTTTAAGCCACTGGGTCCGGGATGCAAACCACAGTCGACTACATGGGAGTCCAGTGACATAGCCATTATGCTAACTGCTAGTCCAACTTCACTGACTTTCAAAAGCTTAGAACAAATAGCAAACCCACTACAACATACTCATTCACAAATATCAAGGTCACAGAAATTCACTTACCAATATGAATGTAAATACATATCATAAAAAGATATGCTTTCAAGAACTACTTAAGGGTTTATAAATTCCACAGTTCTGTCTAAAAATACTAGATATTAATAGGTATATTTAAACTCTAACCATATATACATAGAGAGAGACTTAAATCGGGTTTGTGTTTACAATAATTACTGTTTTTACTTTAGTTAAAAATAAGCAAAATGCTCTATAAACCTAAAATCCATTTATCTAATTAATCTAATGCTTAGAACTAAGTACTTTAGACTAAAGCTTAAACTTACATTAGCGACAAAAATTGTGGAACCAAGTCTACCAGCCTGTAAATTACTGATAACCTCAGGAGGAATGTTTGGATTATTGAGAATAGAAGGTGGTAAATTCATCAACCCCGATCCCATATCAGGGACATGTCCTCCTGGAAATGTTCCTCCTGTTCGTTGCAATGCCCTACGAGCATTTTCTCCGTCAGGATCCTATAACACACATTGAATATTAAATGCCACTAAATACATCAGCAAATGTATATAATTCAAATAACAACTTCAAATTCTATAGTAGCTATCCCATCTGGCTCAAATTATTGACCACCCTGAAGAATAAGCTTTTTTCTCTCATGCAGAGAACTGAGTCCCATAAAAACCTGTGGACAGACAAAAGATTTCAGCCTCAGAAGACGCCAGTTAAATATCTCTTTGCAATCACTAAAGTCACTTAAGAACTTGAAATTAGTTTAATTTTGCCCTCACACTCGTATACAAGTATAGTACATATACATATATTGTAAATACGCATAGCTCAAAGGACAACAAAGTACTTACCGTGACTCTTCATTCTAAAATGTAGTTTATGGTGAATTCTCACCAAGGATGCACAATGAAATGCAAAATTCACACTAATTCGAAGTTTTTCAGTACTGGGACGCACAGTGATAAAACATAGGAATGTTGGAGTAGAGGGAATCTACTACTATTCATTTCACTCTAAACAGAATATCATTATCTATCTTCTAACTTACCTCCCTCAACAATGATTGAGATCTGAGATAGGGACAAAGAAGAGATTAAGGAGGGCTGTGTCTAAGTCAAGAATAACATTAAACATTGTTTTTGTTTTTTAAGTTCATTAACTTTACAAGACAAATGCCCTACCTTTAAACAAAATAAAACAAAGTTTAAATGTACTTCTCACTCATCCCACTAGGTGGAATACAAAAAAATTAAAATAAAAAGTCACATAAACACCCTGATAGACTAACACCTGCAATACCACATGATGATGCTAAAGGCAACCATTAGTTCTACTCTCCTGGCCTCAGTCTTGGGATAATAATAAAAAGAAAACTGGATGATTTCAACACATTTTCTAGAATGACTAGGAAACTAGAAGGTAAAAAGGTGAATGAAAATGAGAATTACAATGTCCTGGCTTCCGATGTATTTCTTTACTATGAAGAATTTTAAAAGACTACAAAAGTAAATAAATCTTATCAAAGAATGCTACAAAACTTAATAATAAATACAATAGGTCTGAGAAATTGAAAACCTATACAAACACAAAATTTAGGATAGTGGCTAGCTATGGAGAAAGAATAAAATAGGAAAGATGCTAAAGGTTGTATTTAATATTAATAAAACATATTGCTATGTTTTGTCTTTTACATATGCACATGCACACATATACATACACACACAATACACATACACACGTGTACATGTGTGATATATAAAACATATACAGGGCCAATCTGTGGCCTAGTTGTTAAGGGAGCCAGATCCCACATTGCCAACTATGTGGTGTGAACCCTGGCCCTGGGTGCTCCACCAGGTACATCTGGGTAAGTGCCCAAAATCCCCACGGGATGGAGAAATGGGGGAGAAGGGATTGTGGCACAACCACACTCCACTGGAGGTGCTTTCTCCCTCTCCCTGTTTCTTGCTGGTGAAAATATGCACCTTCTGGTCAATAAATGAATTATGTGTGTGTGTGTGTGTGTGTGTAAATACATACACAGAATAAAATTGTATCATCTATTAAATTGTCGGAAGTCATGACACATTTTTGCATAGAAAAATAGGTCATGATTTTTCTGACAACCCAATACTATATAATATGATTTTTATTTCTCTTTCCCCTTGCTGTCAGCCTCCCAGTCACTGCGTGTTATTACTATTAGAGGGCCTGTAATTCATTCCTAACTGCTACTAATCCCTACTTAATTAAAAGAAAAAATATAATTCTAAAATCTCTTAAGGAACACTAAAAATATACTTTCCTTAGATGTCCAACTCAGTAGTAGTTCTAAGCACTCATCCAGTCACCCATTTGTAAATCCGATATTCCCAGAAAAGAAACTCTTTAGTGGTGTTAATCTAAAAAAGTTAATTTAGTAAATCCCCTCATCGTTTAGCTATGCCGAATTTGACCATTTCTTTTTCTCTTATAAAAGCTAAAAATGGAGATATCTTATATTAACTTGGATAATATAATTATAATAATATTCGAGAATGTTATAGAGGATCTAGAATGTGCTAAAAATTAAAAGAACATAGAAAACCTGGTCTTGGCCTTTAGCATTCAGTAAACTTTATTTTCCCTTGTAAAAGAATGAGAATCTGTAATATTTGCACTTTGAAGAGGAACAAGAAACAAACAAACAAAAAGAAAAGCGAATTCTATGTCATTTTGAAGATTATAATTTGAGGGAAATTATTTAAAATACCAACACATTTAGAAGCACTTGTCCTGGTTTATGCATAAAAACCACCAAACAAATGGCTGGCACAAAGCATGGTGATCTAAACCTTCTCTACCAATTCTCCATGTCACTGTCAAAAGAAAAAAAAAATTTTTTTGAAAGATTTTTGCTATAGGACACGTGCACTTGCTGGAGAGAGACAGAAAGTGAGAAGTCACCCCCCCCCGGGGGGGGGGATGGCCATGCAGTAAGTAATCCCTTCTCCTTTCTCCTTGGGATTTTGGGCCCACAGGCACAGGTGCCTGGCATGAGTTTGAAGCAGCCAAGTCTGGGACTCAAACCATGGGTGACTATGTGAGAGTTGAGCAATGTAGCCATTACACCATCTGCTGGTCCCGTCAAGAGAAACTTTTAAACAATATCCTTCAGGCCCAAACAGCATTAGAGGAATATGGATGTTAATGCCAATAAAGGGATTTGGGATACATATATAAATCCTGGGGGCATTATCTTTAGTTTCAATTTATAATTATCAAATCACATCGGAAACAAGAGAAAAGCAACCCTTCTACAGAAATAACAATGATCAAAATTATTATTACAGCTAACATTTATTACGTAGTTATAATATTTTAAGGACACTAATAAGTGGTTTATATAACACTACAAATATAATAAATAAATAGCATTAATTAAATAGCTTCCATATATTAACAGAGTCCTTAAACGCTATCAAGTATTATTTACATTTTAGTAATAACAAAGAAACAAAAGGTTAAATAATTTGCCGTGGGTCACACAGTTTTTCTGATGCCAGAGCCTGAGTTCTCACTTAGTCTTCATAAAAAACCTGGTGGGTAATATCAGTAGTTAAAATTGGTGATGTTTGAAAAGTTAACTACTGTAATATGCCTACTCACATAGCTAGAAAGTGATGGAGCTAGGACTCGAATCACTACTATTAATACATTGCTAAATGCCCAGGCTGACTGACACTACTGCTCTACAACAAATGATTAGCATCACTGTTAGCAGAGAATCCTCAAGGTCCCAAGGTTATACCATCTCTCTCTCTGTTTTTTTTAAGTCCATTTCTTTATTTCATGCGACAGAGCGAGAGAAAGACAGGAACCCTCGATGGGATTTCATGCCACAATCCTTCACCCAGCCTGCCCAGTCAGCCAGAATTATGAGCACACACACATGCCCAGTGTACACAGATCAACCCAAGAGTCTAACCTCAATCTTCTTCATGGATCCAGCATCTCAGAGCAGTATGTTTACCACCAAGCCACCACAGCTAGTCCAGTATATGTCTTATAACAAAGACTTGAGCGAGGATATGTGCGTAACTGGTTTGTAAGCAAACTAATAGGATAAGATTTTAAAATATATAAAATAAAGGAGTCCATGAAAATGACTGCTATTCAAGCAATCATTCTCAGAGTCAATTATGCCTAACTCTAAGTATTTTTTTAATGTAACTTGATATAATTCTTTGGTTAATCTATTTACACTGCTATAATTCCATAAAAATAGAACATTTCCACTTTAGAAGTTTTTAAGTTATAGCTATAAATTTCACTAACAGAGTTAGAGCTTTTCTTAAATTTTAATCTCATACGGTTTCCAAGTTAACTTCATTTAAAGTATTTATCAATTTTATTCAAATCCGTAAGGTATGTGCATTTTTAGGAAAGCTTTAATTATCAAATATAAAAATAGCTATGGCATTTCTCAAATTAAACAAAATCTAAAAACTGAAAATATCTATACCAAATAAAGTCAGTACTTAAAGTTTATCATCTTCAAACAGCTGATTCATTAAGTTTTAAAAATTATATACTTCTACATATTTATAACAACTTGCAATAAATCAAATACATTGGATAAGTGCATAACAGCAAATCAGAAATGATACAAGTAAAATTATCATCAAAATACAATGCCTTAATAAGCATCTATGTTTTAAAAATAAATGCTATAAGCAGACAAAAACATTACCAAAGATGAAAACCCAAAGAAAACATGTCCTTAAAGTCAAATATCTAAATTCCAAATAAGAGAAATCTTACCTCTTTAATATTCAGGGGTCTTCCGCTAAGATCATATTTGTTCATAGTTTCTAGTGCTTTCTTTACAAATTCTTCATCTTTGAATTCAATCACACTTAATAGGGAAAAAAACAGGAAATATTTATGTACAAAGTTTTTTTTTTTAAAATCAGAAATTTGACTTAAGAAAGATACTTAAAAAAAAAAAAATTTCTTACCCACAGCCCTATATCCAGGTAGATTTGTCAATATATGCAAAAGAAAAAAAAAGTTTTAGATCAGTAGATGGTTAAAGGTAAATTCTAACATTCAAATCATTAAAATAATATAATCACTTATCGTTTACACCTCTAGAACATAACAGGCAAGTGACCATAACTTTTCTACAAATTTATAAATCCATCTACGTAATACAGTAGACTCTAGCATGTAACAAGCTTGGAGCACATTTTTACTTTTATACAATTGTTCTTTCAGTTAAAACTCATATCACTGCACAGATTCAATTAGCAGTAATTAAAAAAATAATTAAAGGCTCCAAAATCCTTACATACTATCCTTATATAATTAAAAATAATTTCAAAAGATATATTGTTCACAATATATTTCTCAGCTCTATTAAAATCAAAATAAAAATATTAATTTCATTTTAACAACATTCCGTATTAGATTAAAACTGGCTGCGTACAATTTAATAGCATCCAGTTGCATATAAAAGAATCACCTATATTAAAGAAACTAATTTGTAGTTTTATAAGCAATTTATATGATTACAATGCAAGGTGCCATTTAAATATGATGACAAAGTTTTTTTTATTATTTTTCATGCCCCTAACTAGTTTCTGCTAATATAATCCAACATTAATAGTTTACTATTGTATTCTTCAATATATTACAGTCTTGTTGCTAAAAATCGAGATCTACTATCAACCAATTCCTTCTTTGTCAATTTAATCATCAGTATCATTCATACCAATTAGAGCACTGTCTCTTATGTAGTCCTGCAGGCTACCGAATTCAGCCTCTCAGTAAAAGTTTCAAAGAAACACCTTTATTTGAAAAGTTCTGAATAAACACCTTTAAGCTATAGGCCTCTCAAAAAAAAACTCTGAGGGATTATCAATTCAGTGACTTTTAAAATATCCTTGAAGACATCAAAATACAACAAAAAAAGGCCCCTATATTAAAATCTTATTGGCTAAGAAAGCATTGCCCTAGAGCATTAAAAAATGAGGACCCTTTATAAGCATTTACAAGACCCATCCCTTCCAGGCAGCTAATTTGGTTTGTATAAGTGTCAGACTTGCTAATATAAAGCCTCAAATCTGGTATAATAAAGTAAAATAAAATGAAACTTAAGTTTCCAAAAACTGATACAAGAATTATACAAAAGTAAACTGCTGAGGAACTTTTAAACCTCAAGCAGATTATGGCCCACAGCACTTACCCTTGATTTTCCTTCCGCATCCTTAAAGAGCTCCACGTATGTAACCTCACCAACTACATAAGACATACAAAAGGAAGATACCAAGAAACAATACATTTAAACACCAATATCTTGCTTTACTGCACACCTGTGCACAACTCTACAGAAAAGCACCTATTATTCACCAACAATCAAAACCAGACCAACATACCTCCTATCAATGGCTATGTAAATTTAACTAATTTTCAGAAGTGTACATCATCCACATTCTCTAAAAAAGCGAACCACCATATTGACCTAATTCATACTACAGATCATATTTTGGCCAGCATGATATAGTTGGTGAACAAATGCACATATACATACAAATGGCCCCTTAGCCTATCATATTAAAAAGCATCAACATTAGCACTTTTCAAATAACTTTGGTCAGCCTACACACAACAGCTGTTTTAAGGTGACTTTCTACCTGAATGTCTTCAATCATATTTGCCATCAGTAAGCTAAATTTACAAGTCATGCTTCACAGCAAGCCACACACTTTCTAAATAAAGTCAATGAATAAAACCAATCAAATAGTTGTCACCTTACAACAGATACACCAATGCAATTGTTTTTCTTTATTAGAAGAGATCAGCCTCAAAACCAAGTACATAGTTTGCAGGACTGTTGAAACTCAATTTTTCAAGAGATAACAAAACTAACTTTTACAAGATCAAGTATTAAAATTATTTTCCCCAAAACCAACCATGTATATAAAATGAAGGTTTTCAGATGATTCTGAAAACAAACTGCAACAGAGTAACACATTTTAATATAGAACTGCAAAGACAGCATGGCAGTCATGACAATGCAAACAAAATGAATTCCACAGCCAGATTCCAGTCTCCACCAAGGTAATAACAAAACAGCTTTTGGAAAAAAATAATCAGACCATATTAGTCATACTTTAGCACACTAAATATATTGCTTAACTAATGCAATAGTCCTTTTAAAATCTGTAGAAACTTCAACAAGACAAAAGCAATCACTTTAACAAAATTCTTGGTGGCATGCATATGCTGGCTCGCTACTATCCCCCTAAAATGGCTAGAAGAAAAATACTTCATTTATCCATACTGCCTTGTAATGAAATTGTGTGAAGTGAAAGAAAAGGGAAAAGATTAATTCACATATCAAGAAATAAAAATCAATTTTTTGAGTCCGTGTGGCTCAGAGGAATAAAAAGGTTCCTTAGTTCTCTCCCCTTCCTATATGAAGATTATCCAATAGTGGGTTACTTTAGCAATAGTTACCTTTTTCTCTCATTAGGTCTTTAATAGCTTGCCATTTCATGTCATATGGGATGTTGCTAATGAAAACTCTGTTACGATTTGGACCCTTCTTTTCTCCAGTGCCGGAATTCTTTTCTTTTGAATAAGGATGAAATCTATTGGCCTTCTTATTTCCTGTAGATTTTTCTTTTAAGTCAGATTTCTCTTCTTTCACTGATTCATCATTCTCTCTATGAATTTTAAAAAAAGAAAACTCTCAGTTGTGCTTGTAAGAATGAAAGTCTCTATTTAATAAATATTTCATATTTATCATATCACTTCACAAAACTCTCTACTAAGCTAGACTTCAGTAGAGGCCAGAGCATCAGCCTGATAGCTTTGAAATTACCCAGTGCATTTCAAAGCAAGTGTTTGGACTTAGTATGAAACGTCTCATTGAATAATTCTATATTTTGTCCATATTAAATGATTGGAAGCACCCAAACAATCACCTACTTTTTCCTGTCACACTATTTAATAGATGTTTATTAGACCCTAACAAGGGAAGAAGAAATTATGATTTTTTTAAGAGAGATTTTTTTAAGGTTTTTTTTTGTTTTTTGGGGTTTTTTTTGCTATAGGGCGCATGCGCTCGCCAGACAGACAGAGAGACAGAGATAGAAAGCGAGAAATCACCCCCCAGGGGGGATGGCATCACCGCAATCCTTTCTCCTCCATTCTTCTCTTGGGATCTTGGGCACTCATGCACACGCGCCTGGCGTGAGTTTAAGCCACCAGGTCCGGGACTCAAACCGCGGTCAACTATGTGGGAGTCCAGCAACATAGCCATTACGCTAACTGCTGGTCCCTTTAAGAGAGATTTTTGCTATAGGGTATGTGTGTTTGCCAGAGAGACAAAAAGCAAGAAATTATCCCCACCCTACCCCCCCAGGAGGAATGACCATGCTGCAATCCCTTCCCCTCCATTCTCCTCTCAGGATTTTGGGCATGTATGTACACACGTCCAGCATCAGTTTTAAGCTGCTGGGTCCAGGACTCAAACTGTGGTTGACTATGCAGGAGTTCACGATATAACTATTACGCCACCTCCTGGTCTCTTAATTCTATAGTATGTAAAACTACCACCTTTAATGGAGAATTACCTTTCTGGGTTTCATTCAAAACTAAAAAGCTAATTTACAAAATGATAACCTGACAAAGCTCATTCCTTAAAGGTTCAGATTTTTTCCAGAACTTTCCCCTCCCTTGCTTTTAAAAAACACTGCTTTTAAAATGTTAAAATACATAACTATGTGTATATGTATATATCTATGTCTATATATTATACACACACACACACACGAAACTCAAATTTTTGCTATTTCCAATTTTGGCTAACACATAAACTGTGTAAGTTATCCTAATAGTTTCATGTTTACTGTTTTTCTGTGCTTTAACCTATAAACTAATATAAGGCACTTCATAGAATGCTGTATTTATTGAAATATTAATAAAATCCTCTACAATGAGAAGATGAGGCAGACAAGGGAAGCAGTACTTAAATGCAAATGAACCAAATTTTACATATCTACTTTTTAATGAGCCTCTAGTTGGGGAAAAAAAATTAATGAATAAAACTGGAATAACAACACAACCATATAATTCTATATTACCAAGCATCCATAAATGTAGGGATACATTTAAAGTAACTCTATAGATAAAAACCCAGATTTATATTTATATTTATATTTTTAAGATTTTTTTTTTACAGAAATAACAGTAGACTTCTTTTAAATCACTAATTATACAAGCTAATTTCAGGCTAAATAATAAAATTTCAATTTTAAAGCAATTTCACAAATAGACACTAATAAAAATCTCTGGAAATAATGCCCTAAAAATTTTTAAAGCTTCCTGGATTAGGTTTCATAACCAAGATTCTAAACCAAGCAATTTTAGAAATCTATGTATTACAATGTTCCACATACACTTCTTACTACAGTCCTTTGTTACATTATTATGTTGAACCTGGATCCTACTCATCTCAGCAGTTAACACAACATTAGTATTGAAAATATGTTAACAAAGTAACTATTTTATATTAGTAGCATCTTGAATGGTGAACATAACATGTGCTTAATAAATAATTTTTTAATAAATAAGCAGTCAATTAAGACCCATGCTTCTCTGAGCACAGATGATGCCACAGTCTACCAGAAAAAGCTACTAAAACCAAGAAAAGAGACATTAGGCCAAATTTAGCTTTGCCCATCTTTTTAGATTTTGACAGGGTCAGCTTCACTGTCAAAAATATTTCCCCAACAGAAATGTCCTGGCCTGCAAGAAGTCTTCTCAACTGTCCAGCTCCAGAAAGGACCAACCTGTGTGAACACAGTGGCATTTCTAAACATAGAAGCAAGCAGACAAAAGACACAGAGGCCTTTTCTCTGATTTGTGGGTACAGTAGACACAAGAACAAATCCTCCTTTTTATCTCCCAAAGATTCATTTACATAATAGGCTTATGCTGAGTTCAAATGAATGTTTGTAAATAACTAAGTCTCTGTTCAGGTGAGCAGATATCTATACAGTCTCTAAATAAATTACCCTTCCCCTGCTTTTCTTCTTGGATGAAACCAACTGTGAAAAATTATACAAAGTTCTGAAAATATTCACAATGTCTATTGTTAATGTGGGTGACAGTTTCATGTATGTTGTAAATATTTGCTCACAACAATTTGACAATCTCATTAAAAAGCAGTAGTATATATTTTTAAAGAATTATTAATTCTAATATTATTCATTCATTTATTTTTATTTGACCAGAGAGATACAGAGAGAGAGAAAGAGAGGGGTGAGATGGTAAGTGAGAAAGCAAGCCACCAGGTCTGGGACTCAAACTGTGGTTAGCCACGTGAGAGTATCCAGCCTTAACCACCACTCTACCCCTTGGCCCCCAAAACACAGTAATATATTTTTCTTAAATCACCTTTAAAATATTTACTGGGACCAGCCAATGGCATAATGGGTTATGTCACTAACTCCCACATAGTCAACCACAGTTCAGGCTTAAAACTCACGCTGGGCATATATGCACACCCAAAGTCCCGAAAGGAGAATGGAGGAGAAGTGATTGTAGCATGGCTATCCCCATGGGGTGGGAGTGACTTCTTGTTTTCTGTCTGTCTCTGTCTCTCCGACAAGCAAACATTCTCTATAGCAAAAATCTCTCTTAAAAAGAATAATAAAATATTTATTATTTTTACTAAAGGCAAACAGGAAAAGCAATTTTTACAACTTTTTCCCAGTTGGTAGTATTTTAAGAACAGCTAAACTGCTCATGTACAATGTATAAATAAAGAGTATCTATAATGGCTAGAGTGACTAGAGAGATGATCCGATCATTTAAAAAAAAAGAAAAGAAAAAGCCCTAATTACACAATTTATCAACTCTTTCTATGTCAAAAATACACTGTTAAAGAAAGTACAAACATATGTAAAAACTCATAAGGAAATGGTACTACATAATACCACCAGATTGGCACTATACCCAAAATTCCATATACTAATTCCCCAACTATTCAGTTTGGCAACCCCTGCTCCCCAACAATGTACTTAAAGACCCACAAAACAATCACAAAAATCTGCCCCTATCAATACTCTTGGAAGACTGAATTATGTCTACCCAAATTAGAACATAAATTTCTGAAAAACATCACTATCCACCATCAAATAGAGAAATACAATTTCAATGTGATTTAAAAGGTATAACACCATAGTCTGAGATTCAAATTAATTTTAATTCCAGAGGAAAACTACCAGGGGGAAACTCATGTTAATAAATGTTTACATGAAAAAAAGTCTCAAATAGACTAACCTTATACCAAAAGGAAGTAAAAAGAAGGAAAAAAAATTAAGTCTAAAGTTGGAAGGAAGGAAATAGTAAAAATAGAGCAGAAATAAATGAAATTAGAAAAACAAAGGAAAGAAATCAACCAAGTTAGAGCTGGTTTTTTAAAAAGATAACCAAAATTGGAAAGACTAACTAAGGGGAAAAAAATGAGAGGGAAATCAAAATTAGAAATAAAAGCAACATTGGGGCCAGCAGGTGGTGTGGTGGTTAAAAGCACTGGAATTCCACAAGGTAGACTGCAGTTCAAGTCCTGGGCCTGATGGCTTACTTTCTCTTTCTCCCTCCCTCTCAATTTAAAAATCAATAAAATAAAGTTTAATAAGATAATTCTTTTAAAAAAAGTAAAGAAAAGCAGCATTACAACTGATAAAATAGAAATACAAAGGATTAGAAACTACCATGAATAATTAATTATACATCGATAAATTGGATAACCTAAAAAATGGATAAATTCCTAGAAACATACAACTCATAGACTGAATCATGAAGAAATTTTAAAATCTGAACAAACCAATAATGAGAACAATGATTGAATCAGTAATCAAAAATCTCTCAGGTGAGCTAGTGGCATAGTCATTAAGGCAGCCAGATCCCACATGACCAACTAACTGCACAGTTCAAGTCCAGGAGCCAGTGGATTAAGAAGTACACTGGGTAAATGTGTGTACATGCCCAAAATCCAACAGGAGAATGGAAAAGAAAGGAATGTAGCATGGCCATCGCTCCTGAGGTGCTTGCTCTCTCGCTCGCGCTCACTCGCTCTCTCTCGCTCTCTCTCTCGTTAGTGTACACACCCTATGATAATTTTTTTTTTAAAAAAAGAAAGACTCCTCAATAAAGTCCAAGACCTGATGAAATTACTGATGAATTCCACCAAATATTTAAGAGTTAATACCAATCCTTTTCAAACTCTTCCAAAAAATTAAAGAAGAGGGAACTCTAAAAGTCATTTTACAAGGTTAGTATACGAAAATGAGACAAGGACATGACCAGAAAAAGAAGTACAGGCCAATATCCTTTATGAACAGAGATGCAAAAATCCTCAACAAAATACTAGCAAACCAAATTCAACAGTACATTAAAAGGATCATACACCATGATCAAGTTAGCTCTGGAATGCAAGAATAGATGGACATACACAAATTATAAATGTGATATACCACAGTAACACATTAATGGATTAACAAAATCAAATTATCATCTCAATAGAAACAGGAAAAACATCTGACAAAATTCAACATCCTTTCATGATAAAAATTCTCAACAAATTATGTACAGAAAGAATGTATCTCAAAACAATAAAGGTCATATATGACATGCCCACAGGTAACAACTCATTCAACAGTGAAAAATTGAAAGCTTTTCTTCTAAGATCGAGAACAAGAGAGGGATTCCTGCTCTTGCTATTCAACATAGTACTGGAAGACCTAACTAGAATAATTAAGCAAAAAAGGAAAGAAGGAAAGAAGACAGGCAAAGAAATAAATATAAAGCATCCAAACTGGAAAGGAAGAAATAAAATGATCTCTGTAGAAGACATGGTCTTATACACAGAAACCACTAAAAGACTCCACCAAAAATATACACAGAAAGCACTAAAAGATTTCACCAAAATTTAGCAAAGTTATAGGTTATTAAAATCAACACACAAAAAATGAGTTGTGGGGCCAGTCAGTAGCATGGTGGTCAAGGTGGCTAGATCCCACATAACCAACTGCACAGTTTAAGTCCTAGACCTGGTAGCCTGGAAAACACACAGGGCATGTGTGCATGCATGCCCAAAATACCAAGAGGAGAATGGAGAAGGGATTGTGATGTGGTCATTGCCTGTGGAGTGCTTTCTCACTTTCCCTCCCTCAGCCTCTCTCCAGCAAGCACACGTGGCCTATAGCCAATTAACAACAACAACAACAACAAGTCAGTTATTTCTATACACTAACAACTATCAAAAATAACTAAGGTGGAAGATACAAATAAATTGGAAGTTATCCCATGTTCATGAATCAGAATTATCAAAATGTTCATATAAAACAAAATGACCTACTGATTCAATATGACCCCTATTAAAGTTCCATGGCGTTTTTCTAACAAATAGGAAAAAAAAAATCCTATAATTCTCATGAGACAGACAATCCCAAACAGCTAAAATAACCTTGAACAAGAAGAAAAATATTAGAAGCACTACAACGTCCCCAATTTCAAAATATAATACAAAGCTATAGTCATCAAAACAGTATAGTGCTGGTATAAAAACAGACACACAGATCAATGTAAGAGAACAGAAAGCTTAGAAATACATCTATCCACATGCATGCAGTCAAATAATCTTCAGCAAACACACCAAAAATACACAATGAAGAAACAATAGTCTCTTCAATAAATGGTGTTGAGAAAACTGGATATTCACATATAAAAGAAAATACTGAAATTAGATCCTTCTAACACATACGAAAATCAACCCAAAATGGATCAGACTTAACACATAAAAGCAGAATCCATGTAACTTTTAGGAGAAAAGCTCTATGACACTGGTCTTGGCAATGATTTTTTTTTTTTTTGATATGACACTCAAAGTACAGGAGACAAAAGCAAATATAGACAAAGGGACTACATTAAACTAAAAAGGTTCTGTACAGCAAAGTAAACAATAAACAAAATAAAAACATAACCTACAGAATAGGAGAAAATATCTGCAAAATACATATCCCATACAGGGCTAATATAAAAACATACAAAGAACTCATACGACTCAAGGGCAAAAACAGCCTGATTCTTTTAAATGGAAAAAGGACATGGGTAGGTATTTTTCTAAAGAAGACATACAAATGGCCAATAGGTATATTAAAAATTACTCAGTCTCACTAATCATCAGGGAAATGAAACTTTCTTCACACCTGTTAGGATAACCGTCATTAAAAAGTCAAAATATAAGTGTTGGGAAGGATGTGGAGAAAAAAGAAGCATTACATGTTGTTGGTGGCAATACATATGGTAAAGCCATTATGGAAAACTGTATGGAGGTTTCTCAAAAAACTGAAAATAGAACTACCATATGAGCCAACAATCCTACTTCTGGTATACATCCAAAATAAAATCACTATCTTAAAGAGACACCTGCACTCCCATGTTTCCTACAGCATTGTAAACAGCCACAGTATAACAAGAATTGAAGTATCTATTGGGTCGTCAGGAAAGTTATGTCATGTTTTTCTACACAAAAATGTGTCATGACTTTTCCGAGAATCCAATAATTTACAGATAATGGAACTTACACAAAATGGAATGTTATTCAGTCCCTAAAATAAAAAAAATAGAAAAAAAATCTTTCCATTTGCCACCACATGGATGAACCTGGAGGACATTAAGCTAAGTGAAATAAACCAGATGCAGAAAGACAAATACTGCATAAACTCACTTACATGTGTAATCTTAAAAAGCCAAATAAATAGAAGCAGAGAGTAGAAGGGTGGTTACGTTACCAGAGGACAGGAGGTGAAACAAATAGGGCGATGTTGGTCTATGGGTACAGACTTTCAGTTAAAGTAATTTCCAGAGACCTAATGTACAGTATAGTTACTACTTAATAATGATGTACATACTGGATACCTGACATTTTCTGAGAATAGATCCTAATTATCCTCATCACGATAAAAAAGAATGGCAACTACATGAGGTGACAGATTTGTTAATTTCACAAATTATTCATATATCAAAACATCACAATGTATACATTAAATAGAAACAATTTCTATTAACAAATTATATCTCAATAAAACTGGCAAAAAATATAATTAGCCCAATTCTAGTCTTTAGTCCTAAGATTATAAAAATTAGTATTCTCCTAGCAAACATTTTGACTTGCTCCTGTTCCAATGCTTAATATTTTCTAAGTATCCTAATACAACTTTTGTTTTTGTTTATTTGTTTTTGCCATAGGACAAGTGCACTTACCAGAGAGACAGTGAAAGGAAAAGTAAGAAATCATCCCTCCCCCCCCATGAGGGGGTGATGCACCATAATCCCTTTAAGCTACCAAGTCTGGGACTAGAACAGTGGTTGGCCAGGTAGGAATCTAGCACCTTAACTACCATGCCATCTGCTGGCACTGCCTAATGTAACTCTTAATCAACATATACTCCAAGGTGTTATTTAATCATATATAAATAATGAAGAGTTATAATACTCCTGTTTTCCCTCCTAATCACTTTTAAGAAAAGAACTCTCAATATACCATTTTAGCATAAAAGAAAAGACTACATCGGGAACCAGCAGTTAGCGTAATGGCTATGTCGCTGGACTCCCATGTAGTCGACCGTGGTTTGCATGCCGGACCCAGTGGCTTAAAACTCACGCCGGGCGCGTGTGTGTGTGTGTGCCCAAGATCCTGAGAGGAGAATGGAGGAGAAGGGATTGCGGCGTGACCATCCCCCCTGGGGGGTGATTTCTCACTTTCTGTCTCTATGTCTCTCTCTGTCTGTCTGGCAAGCACCCGCGCCCTATAGCAAAAACCTCTCCAAAAAAAAAAGACTACATCTAGAGAAACAGCTTTAATTTCTTGTCTAAAATGTGTGCATGCCCACTAAATCTTCTGCAAATGAGTTTCATGATCACAAAACTCACATCTATATTTTTTCAAAAGAATACTTACTAGTCCTTTTAAAATTTAAGTCCTAGGACCAGCAGATGGTGTAATGGTTACATGGCTGGACTCCCACAGTCAACCCTGGTTCAAGTCCCAGACCTGGCGGCTTAAAACTCACACCAGGCACACATGTATGCCCAAGATCCCCAAAAGAGAAGGAATTGTGTTGTGGCTCTCCCACCCTGGGGGGTGATTTCTCACTTTCTGTCTCTTTGGCAAGCACACATGCCCTATAGCAAAAATCTCTCTCTAAAATAAAGAAAATATAAGTCCTTGAAGATACAAAAATGAGTAAGACAGTGGTCCGTGCTCTCAAGAACTACAGTTTAACCTTAGCAAAAGCTATTTAGAACCTGATGACAAGCAGTACTCCAGTTACTTCTAAGCAACATGTATGTTAAGACAATGTTCAGTAATTTTGATCATCAATTATAAATTCTTATCATTCAAAACATTTGGTAATCAACTCAAGGTTTGTGTGTTAGCGTTGTGAACTCCTACTGGTACACAAAGTCATAGAAAGGTCTTAGGAGCCTAGTCATTCAGTGGGACTGACCCATAATGGACCACCATTTGTTTTCACAGAATAGACAGTACAAGAAGAAATCCCTGAGAGTAAGTTGGTCTCTACTCAACCTCTGGGAAAAGAGGAAAGAGATGAATTATAAGCAATACAAAAAGAATCTGTTTGCTGACAGCATTTCTCATTTCTTCCTTTAGATTTTTCCTCTTCCTATTATACATTAGGAAAGGATTCTTTTCCCCACGTCTCTTCTTTCTTTTCCTACATTGCTAAATCACAGAGTTGAGAGACTTTTAGACTGATGGAGGTTTAGATATCAGCTTCACCTGTACCAATACTATTACACTAATCATACCCACGTGTGGAAGGGCTGCTCCGTAATTCAAGGCTGTACTTTTTGTTAAGGAGAAAGGGCAGCATGCTCATGTTTAGATATGAACTACTAACACTTAAAAAAAAAAAACTATACCACGGGTGAGAGAGACAACAGAGACAGCAAGAAGGTCTGGAAGTCACCTTGTTTCCAGCTTCAGTCAGCCCCACATCACAGGCCATGGGGGGGTCCCTTATGTGTTCAGGAAGATCTCTAGACACCAATGGGGAACCTACCTACCTGGGTCAGCCTGCAGAGCACCACACTTCACTGCTGCACTACCACCATGCCCTCAATACAGCACAATTTTCCACTGTTTATCATTTCTATTTTTAATGCCAAATCCTTGAAAACCTACATTTTGGCACTCACGACAGAAAGTGCTCTGCTCACATTCTGGTTCCCCAACTACATCAAGAAGCAAAGCCACTGAGTTCCAATCTGTTATACCTGTCCCTCAGTTCAGCATAGACCATGCTGCCTATACCCAATTCAAACCCCCTAAAGAGGAAGAGTGACACAACAGCTAGAGCTGGAGAGAACTACCCCATCTCATCTGCCATCAACCCTTAAACAGATTGGTCCAGATTTGAGGTCCCTGTTTCGAACATTTCCTAGTTCAGTGTGAGTATACGTTGACTCTGAGATACAACTGAGAGAAGGAAAAGAATGTTTTCATTAAGTTATTAACGAACTTTCAATTTCAGGTTTAAAGTGCTAGGTATATGGAAAGAAGTGCTTGACTTCATAGCCCTCATGGGACAAGAACAAAGGGAAGCATAACATTTCCTTGTTAACTAGAAATTATTACAGTTTTTCTTTACAGTCACTGACGGCACCTGCAACCTTACCAGTAGTGGGCCTTCATCAATTAAAAAAAATTGTTTTTTTTTACCATTATACATTAAGACCATCACCGTTTTGTGTTTTTTTAATAACCTGCACAGCTGACAAACATTACTGGGTGGGAATGAAAGCAATGCACCACACAGATTTCTCTTTTTGAAGCACCTCTCGCCCATTCAAGGGTAACACAATGGATTCATTCTTACAGCACATTATTAAACTTCCTCGCAGTAGACATCAGTTCGGAAATGAACATACACTTTAGGAAACAAAATCCTAAACTTGTAAAAGCTGAGAATGAGGCCTGGAGACGGGATATTCTTTTAAAGCCCTTCTGGGTGGTTAAAAAGGAAATGTTGGATGATGTCATCCCTAGATACTCCCTAGTGATGAACACTAACTACCGGCCTTTAAGAGGGGGTCCATTTTCCTGCAAACCGTGGCGGTAGCTTTGCTCAAAGATTCTCCCGCCAACACATGGAAAAGGGGGTGCCCAGGGTCTCGGGCTAGAAATCCGGAGGGCGGCGGCCCCTGGGCCCTCGCCCCAGCTCCCGGCCGCTGGTTGCGGGGCGGGCGCAGAAGGGGAAGGGCCCGGA